TGCTGCTGCTGCTGCTGCTGCTGCTGCTGCTGCTGCTGCTGCTGCTGCTGCTGCTGCTGCTGCTGCTGCTGCTGCTGGGGCTGGGGCTGCTGTGGGGTTGCTCGGCGGCTGCTGTTCGAGGCCGTGCTTCTGCTGCTGCTGCGCATGCCGTTGCTGCCTTAGTCGTTGCTGCCGCCACTCTCGCTGCTGCTGCCGCTGCTGCTGCTGCTGCTGCTGCTGCTGCTGCTGCTGCTGCTGCTCAGCTTGAAGCAACCCGCGACCCCCCGCTCCTCCCACTTACACCTCTAAATAGCCTTTTCCACGCTCTACTATTTATTTATTTATTTATTTATTTATTTATTTATTTATTTATTTATTTATTTATTTATTTATTTTAGGCCCCCCGCAGCTGGAGGCCTGAGACCCAAGTGCCCCCCGAAGTGTTCGAGGCGGACCCGCAGCTGCGGCTGCGGGAAGAGTTGGGGGCGGAGGTGCGGCGGCACATGTTGGAGACAGCGCCGGCGAGTCAAATTCCGAAGTGATTTTCGAGGGTTTAAACCCTAAACCCTCGCGCCAAACCCTAAACCCTAAACCCTAAACCCTCGCAGCTTTCGAACGAACTTTTTTCGCCAAAAAACCACCCAAAACCGCCCCAAAACGCCCAAAACACCCAAACCCTAAACCCTAAACCCTAAACCCTAAACCCTAGGTCTCAGGAAAGAGACCGGCCCCCCGGATACGCCGGCCCTTCGCCGCTAGGGTTTAGGGTTTAGGGTTTAGGGTTTGTAGACGGGTCTTCTTTTTATTTTTGTTGTCGGAGACTTAAGGACCGAATAAAAAGTGGAAAAGTGCTTTTTATTCCTTTTTCAGAAAATATAATTTTATTTAAATACAATTTAATTTTATTTTATTTTATTTAAATGCAATTTAATTTAATTTAATTTAATTTAATTTAATTTAATTTAAATTTAATTTAATTTAAATGCAGTTTCATTTAAATGCAAATTCTTTTTATTTCCATTGTACGTACACCTGCCAGTTCGGAGTTCGTTTATTTTGCAGTTTTGCAATTTAAAGATTTTTATTTATTTTGCTTTTTTTTTTAAAGCAGCAGCAGCAGCAGCAGCAGCAGCAGCAGCAGCAGCAGCAGCAGCAGATGGAACCCCACAAGAAGTCTAAATTTTGCGCAGCAGCAGCTCCTGCGCTTTTGTCGCAGCGTATACGCTATTTTAGGGTTTAGGGTTTAGGGTTTGGGCGAAACGCAGGGCAAATGCCTTTTGTTGCTGCTGTTGCAGCTGAGAAACCCTAAACCCTAAAACAGAGTATCCGGCCAGGGTGTGCACACTTGGCTACTCCTTTCGCTGCTGCTGCTGCTGCTGCTGCTCCTGTTGCTGCAGCCGCAGCAGTACCAGCAGCAGCAGCAGCAGTACCAGTAGCAGCAGCAGCAGCAGTACCAGAAGCAGTAGCAGCACCAGTATCAGCAGCAGCTGCAGCAGCAGCAGCAGTAGTAACAGCAGCAGCAACAGCAGCAGCAGCAGCAGCAGCAGCAGCAGCAGCGCGGAGGGTTTGTGTGAAGTCTCGGATAAGAATTAAAAAAGAAAATAAAAAGTAGAGCTGCCTTTTGCGAGGGCTGGGGGGTCCGTGCGGGGGCGGGGAGGGGCCCGCTGGGGCCGGGGAAAGCCTGCGCCGCAAACCCTAAACCCTAAACCCTAAACCCTAAACCCTCGGAGAAGGCCGGGGGAAGCCGCTGTGGGTGTCTTTGCCGCAGCAGCGCATGCAGCGGATCGGCGGCGGTGGCGGGCATGCAGCCCTGGACTTGGCAGGACTTGGAGAGGACTTTGGGAGTTAAAAGGGTTTGCTGGAGTTGTCGAGGGTTTATAAACACTAAAAAAGGGTTTATAAACGCTAAAAAAGGGTTTATTGGCGCTGAAAAGGGTTTGTTTCGGCCGGAAAGTCGCGCAGGGAAGCCGGAAAGCTCCGCGGACAGAATGCAGGAACTGCTGCTGGACTGGCGGGTGGCGGTGGCCGTGGCGGTGATTGCTGTCGCCGTGGCGGGTAAAACCCTAAAAAAGGGTTTAGAAACCCTCGAGGGTTTATAAAACCGAAAAGGGGGAAAAGCGGGGGTTTCAGTTGGGGGTTTTGCGGCGAGTTGGGGTGTACAGACACCGCGCGTCGCGCGCGGCGACTTCGCCGACCTGCGCCGATCTCGGCCGATCTCGGGCGTTTTTCGGCGCTTTTTGTCGGAAAAAGTCGAAAACAAATCCGAAAAGAAGAAAGAAAGGCATTTGCGAGCTCTCGAGGGTGTTTTTGGTGCGTTTGTGTGCAGCGGCGGCGCGCGCGCGCCGCAGCCGCAGCAGCAGCAGCAGCAGCAGCAGCAGCAGCAGCAGCAGCAGCGGCGCGCTGCAGCCGTTTCTCGACAAAACCCGCAAAAAAGCCACTCTTTTGCAAAAGTCTTTCATTTCCGGAGACACAATTCGCTTTGTCTTCGCGCTGGCGCATCCGCAGCAGCCGCTGGGCCTCCCCGTCGGCCACCACCTCAAGGTCTTCGCGCCCAACGCCCAGGGGCAGGTCCCCGGCCTCTGGCAAGCCCCAAACCCTAAACCCTAAACCCTAAACCCTCCTGCTCCTGCTGCTGCTGCGTTTGCTGCTGCTGCTGCTGCTGCTGCTGGCTTCGCGCTGCGCAGTGTCGTGTCTTTTCCCGTTCCGTTCTTTCCTGGGGCCCGCCGAGGCCCCAGCTAGCTGCCCAGCTAGCTAGCTGGCTAGCTGGGCACATGGCTGGCTAGCTAGCTAGCTGGGCACGTGGCTAGCCAGCTAGCTAGCTGGGCACATAGCTGGCCAGCTAGCTAGCTAGCTAGCCAGCCAGCTAGACACATCTCGAGCCGCCCAGCACAGCTAGCCACCCAGCTAGCCAGCTAGCTAGCCACCCCAGCTAGCCCCCCAGCTAGCCAGCTAGCCAGCTAGCCAACTAGCTAGCCACCCCAGCCAGCTAGCCAGCTAGCTAGCCAGCTAGCTAGCCAGCTAGCTAGCCAGCTAGCCAGCCACCCCAGCTAGCTAGCTAGCCACCCAGCTAGCTAGCCACCCCCTCCAGCCAGCTAGCCAGCTAGCTAGCCAGCTAGCCAGCTAGCTAGCCACCGCAGCTAGCTAGCCACCCAGCTAGCCACCCAGCTAGCCAGCTAGCTAGCCACCCCAGCTAGCCACCCAGCTAGCCACCCAGCTAGCCAGCTAGCTAGCCACCCCAGCTAGCCAGCCAGCCAGCCCCCCAGCTAGCCAGCTAGCTAGCGACCCCGTGCACCCAGCTAGCCCCCCAGCTAGCCAGCTAGCTAGCTAGCTAGCTAGCCAGCGCTGCTGCTCGCAGGAACGGGCGGCCGGACCCGGAAGCGGGGGAGTTGGAGATAAGCCGGAAGTACACTCCCGTGTCTGCTGCAGCAGCAAAAGGGTTTTTGGAACTTGTCATTAAAATTTATAAACCCCAAAGTCCTGTCTTCGTGGACGGCGGGAAGATGTCGCGCCATTTGCTGCTGCTGCTGTGCTGCTGCTGCTGCTGG